TTCGAAGCACTCGACGACTAGAAAAAACAAAAGACGTTTCAATCGCAACTAAAAGTCGTTATTAAATGCAGAATAATACAGGGTGGCGCAATAGAACGTGCATATTGCGTCATCTTTTTTCGCGCGGTAAAGAGTGCGTGGGAGGGGGGAGCCTAGCGTGATTAGATAGTGGCACTCGTGAAGTTTTAGTAGCCATGAGTCACTTCGACGGGAAGCGTCGCGCTTTTTGTGTTCGCACGTTTTACGAGAACGGTCGTTCATACATCTCTACAAGGCGACTGTATTGCTCTGAATATGGATTAATACACATCAATGAAGCTCCGAGTGCAAATTTAATTAAAATATGGATAAAGCGCTTTGAAGAGACCGGTTCCACGTTTAAACAATCAGCAAAAGGTCGTCCAAGAACGTGTAGGACCACAGACAATATTGAGAGGGTGAAGGACTCAGTACGAGAAAATCCGCAAGTGTCTACTCGGAAGCGATCGGCGGCTTTAAACTTGTCGCGACGAAGTTTACAGCGAATTTTGAAGTTGGATCTTAAACTGCATCCCTATAAGCTCCAGTTAACACAGGAATTAAAAGATACCGACTTTGGAGCAAGGTTAGCATTTGCTGAAGAAATGCTTCGTCGATTTTCCACTTTTGAGAACATTCTTTTTTCTGACGAGGCTCATTTTCATTTAAATGGGTTCGTAAACCGACAAAATTGTCGTTATTGGAATGACGAGAATCCAAAAATGAAACATCAAAAACCACTGCATAGTCCGAAAGTAACGGTATGGGCAGCAATCTCAAGCAAAGGAATTATTGGCCCTTTCTTTTTTGAAGATTCACGAGGACGAAACATCACCGTTAACACCGACCGCTATGTTGCGATGTTAGAAGGATATTTGACTCCAGAGCTTGCGAGATCAAGAATAGCGAATACGAGGACTTGGTTCCAACAAGACGGAGCGACCTGTCACACATCGAATGACTCTATGGCGGTTGTGAGACAGATGTTTCCAGCTAGACTAATTTCCAAAAGAGGTGATATCCCCTGGCCCCCACGTAGCCCTGACTTGACGCCTCCTGACTTTTTTTTGTGGGGATACCTCAAACACAAAGTGTACATGAACAATCCGAGGAACATCAGGCAACTAAAGGAAAATATCCGTGGGGAAATGGCAGCAATCACCCCAGATTTATTAAGAAAAGTTTTCACAAATCTGCGTTCGCGTTTAGAGGAGTGCCATCTTCGAGAGGGCCGTCATTTAGATGACGTTATTTTTAAAAAATAAACTTCGTTTAATTACCTATTCATCATAGCTTTTATTTCAAATATACCTTTTGTATTTATTTTTTTAGCCTATACTTAATTTATGCACGTTCTATTGCGCCACCCTGTATATCATTTAAATGTCAAACAATTTTTGACTAAGACACGTTCCTTTCCACGGGTTAAAAAAGCTCTTTTTTCGGGTACTAATAATGCACTATTACAGTAGTGCATTAGCACTACTGTAATATGGGGTTAGTCCAGAGATTGCGTTGCGAGAGGCGCATTTCAATAATAAACCAAGATTATATTCATAAATAAAACTTTATACGTGTATTCAATTTGAAAGCTTTGTCCAGAACTCCTATACGTCCATTTGACATCAACCTTCTATTATTTATACAATTCTAAATATAGACTGATCCAGCCTGCTACATCCCTCCTCCTCAGTAGATTAGGCAGTATGATTAGAAATACTGGCTGAATGAATGTAGATTTGTGTTTAGAATTGTATAAAAAAAATAGGATTGAAAAAAAGAAAAATATCTTGGTTGTTCTAGAACAGGCTTCGAACTGAAAATAAGCAATAAATATTTATTCATGGATATAGTCCTGTTTTATATTTGAAAAGTGCCTCACGCTAACCCAAGCTACGTCCCTCTCTACACTATCTAAGACACAAGAAGGGTGAAAACAATGGAGTCACTACACAAACAGGATATTGTAGAAACCAGATATAGTCGGATATTTAATTAGATATAGCAAACTGACAGCTACGTAACACTTAAAAAACAATTATTTTAAATTAAAAAAAAAAACCATTACGTTTAGTTTCAATTTACATTAATTTTTTTTTAAATAATAATCAGATGAATATGTTGCGGTTTTTTATCACTCGCCGCCATTTCATTCTATAATTAAATTCATCAAAGAAATGCACTGTAAAAAGTTAAAGAAAGGTTTCAAACACAAAAAGGATACTTTTTATAAAACAATAACATTATCGTGTCATTTGTCATTAAATCTCACTGTGCTGTGTTGTCTGAAGAAAAATGTTTAGGATCACTGCATCTACAAAGATGCAGTGATCGTAAACAATTTTCTTCAGACAACAAATAATGCATATAATTACTTTTTTTGTAATTCTAAAAAAACGAAGTTAGCTCCGTCAACTATCTGTTATCAAAGTCTTGTTTTTTTTAATTAACAAAAATATATAATTCACCTTGGCGACGTTCTGAGTGATTAATTCATTCTTTAAGATCACAATATTTTTATATCATGAAAAACTTTTTACTCACTAAATAACAGTACTTAGCCTACATACAGTCCCATTGATGGGCACAGGGTTCTTCTCACAATGAGAGAGCTATGGCTGTAGTTCACAGGCGGCACTATGGAAAATAATAGAACGGCGTATCAAAAATGGTTTTCACCAATGTCTTACCCGAGATACAGATTTCATTTTATTTGTCAGTTTAGATGTCATACTCTAATATACTGAAGGTTTTTTTATTAGGTATGTTAATTAAAAAAAAATACATATAATAATATATACATATTTCCCACAGTCGACTCGTTGTGAAACTTTCGACGTCGCAGTTCTTATTAATTTTATTAGACAAACCATAACGCAGGGTGATAGGTTGAACGAGATAAAGATTTAAAGGGGCGAGTGTGTAGCTAATACTCATACGTAATATGTAAAAAAAATACTACCTTATTTTTAAATATTTTTCTCTATGCAAAATACTGCCTCTAACATATTGTAATCTTAGAATAATAACGCATAGAAACCTAGTTCGCACACGCTAAGTGAGGCAAATTGAAGCGCTCTCAAAGGGCCTACACGAGCGGGCGGGCCGTCAGTGCTCAAGGTCAACTTGCACCGCGAACAGCTCAAGAATTTTAGCTAAAAATGACGAAATGTGCGGTAAATGAGTGTAAAAATACGTCAGACAAACATAAAATAGATACTAACATCATATTTCACAAGGAAATAACGCGTTTCAACTTGTATTTTTATATAAATATTCACTAAAACCGAAAATTAATTTCGTTGCAAAAAGACACGAAAATGTCTACATGAATTTGATTTTTGCCTCACTTGTGACAGTTCGTTTGATATGAAACTATCATTCTATGCGTTATTATTCTAAGATTGTAATATTCTGCGCAAGATCGAACATGCAGCAAGTGCCCGCCTTCCTTGTCGTGTCTTTGTATTTGGTTTTTCAACGACTTTTTAGCCGCAGCGCCATCTATGAGAAATCTATGAAAGTATTTCGTCATCCAGTTAGATATCTTTACAGGTACCAGCCCCGGCTAGAGTATTTTACATTTTTATTGAATTGATATTCAAATTTTTTTAGTAATTTCACATAAAAAATAATTAAATATCAAGCCTGTCAAAATTTGCTAACATTTATCTATCGTTTCCTGGCAGTAGTGTTTATAATAAGAGGCTATTTTCAGAATCAGGAATTGTTGAAAAGCGCAATCGTTTGTTACCAACCAACGCTGAAAAACTTGTTTTCATTCATCACAACCTGCCACTGATTGATTCTAAGTATTAAAGCAATAATTTTGTGATTAAAATATATGATATATTTTTACTAATATTGGTATTTTCATTATTTGATATTCGGTATATTAAAAAAAGTGGTCCCAATAGGCCGAATACCGAATAGTAGCCGAATATTCGTGGCATCTCTAGTTCACATATTGTGAACTAATAATATAAATAAAATAAAAATTGTGAAATAAAATAAATTATACGGATTAGATATCAGCTACTCGTTTGCTTCTTTAAATAATCATCTCGTTCAACCTATGAACCTGTATATATTTCTATAAAGCACAACTTACGTATGTCAAAAATAGTTATTTTTAAAAATTGGTGCGTAATTAAAGAAAATAAATAATTCACAAACAACATTAAATTACTTTGCAGATGTGTGCGGTTTTCATTACGTTTTCCTTCACCGAAATGCTCAGAGGTGCAAGCCCGGATTCGAACCTATGACCTTCTGCTTCCCATTAAACGTCCGTTTAATTATTAATAAAAATCTAATTAAAATCCGACTAATAGATTATTCTACTCTCCTGTATAGGATACCAAATTATAGTGCATTCCCAGATTCAGGAGACTCAAGATCGCATGTCTCGTCTCATGTATATTTCCCTGGCAGCGGTAACCAATTTTCTTCGAATGCACTGGCTGGTTGTTTACCAACATCGAGTATATAACCAGAAATAGAGACGAAATGTCATTTAATCTGTTTGAAAACCATTCTGCCAAACCATTACGGTGACCACTGCGCTCCGATTGGCCAGTCCGAATCCGAAACTTTTGACGGGTATTGTCAATTGTTGCACTTCAAATTAACTTCAGCTTTGCTATAATGGACGAAAATTTAAAAATTACATAATTTAAATTTTAATTACCGAAGAAATGTGGTTCCGTTTGTTTTGTAATTAGATGTTTTGCTGTTTTTCCCACACCACCGAATGGAACAGCCTCCTATTGTTACGAGATATTATCTTTATTACAATAAATACAGTATGTTTTTGGAATATACGAAGACGTACACACAGGTTAGTTGTTGGCGCTGTAGTTTTTCAGCTTTCTAATTTGTGATTTCTGTGCAAACGAGAGTTGATATTTAAAAGTGATATAAGGTCCATTTGCCTGATGATTTGCCAGGGATGGATAGCTCTTATTTCGTCTCTGATTTCTGGTTATATACTCGATGTTTATAAATATTGGCTACGCGTCTTCATCATTCCCACTATCTTCTGAAACTTCCCCATCTCCTATGAAGACCTCTTCCCGCCCTAAAGCCGCCCTGCCTGCTTGTAAGACAGATGCCATAGCGAGACCAGCGCCTAGACTGTACTCTATGGGTCGTAGTGACTCATCTACAGTCGTGTCTATGGTAAGAATACCTGAAAAAAAAAGTTATTGAATGTGATGTAGCATCAAAAAGTACTGAAACTATGTAATCTACTTAATGTAATCGAGATTTTTCAACAACTCACTTTGCGTCGTCGTGTAGCACTAATCGGACTTTTACGTAAACTTTTTTTTAATAATATGAAGTGACGGGATGAACAAGTCGTACGCCTGATGGTAAGCTACACGCCTGTCCATAACAGTTGCAATGCCACTCAGAGCTTTAAATCGCAATGATCTGAAGGGCACTGCCACTGCGCCCGTCACCCTGAGACATAAGTTGACAAGTCCCATGTGCCTGTAATTTCACCAACACCCTTATCCTTCAAAACCGGAACACAGTAATGTTGACATTACTGCTTGGCGGCAGAAATAGGTAAGGTGGCAGTACTTCCCTGGACGAATATTTTCACTTACTTTTTCAAACTTAGCGACTAAAAAAACGACAAGATTACACTCGTCTGGGCTCACCCCCTTAAGGTCATCAGATCATTTTCTGATTGGAAATGAAATTTGTCTAAAAGCAAATCTTATTTACTGATAAAATAATAATAGTACATTGTTGTAATAAGGGCGGTAAATGAGGAATTACGAACGAGACTCTACTAGGCTTTCGGAGTCGAGGTACGTAATTCCCGTACCGCCCGTGAAACAAACAATGTTTTTCATCACACTTGCACGTAAATAGTATGATTGCATGCAGGCTAACTTGACTATAAAGTCCCAAATATAACTCTCGGGCCTTTTTCTTCTCATTACAGCCATGGTCGTGTAATGAGAAAAAAAGTCTCGAGGATTTTATTTGGGACATTAGTCAAGTTAAGTAAAAATGCTCGTAAATTAAAAAACACAAAACTTTCAAAAATCGAGCCATTTATGGGCCGTGCGACTTCTTCCCGGCCACGGCCTGCAAAGTAAATATGAAAATCCACTACTGTTCGCTACTCTAAACTTTTAATCTAACACGGATTTATATATTTCATAAACTGGATCGCGCACTTCGATATACCAATATTACAAATTTACACCTTATTGGGTTATGTTAAGGTTTATTTTAAGTAAAAGTAAAAAAACCGAGTCACGCGAGATAGAATTAGTGGTCTGTCCTTATCTAACAAGTTGCCAACGCTAAATAAAATCATCTTAGATATCTAGTCCATCACTTTTTTAAATTTTGCTTAAATAAAATTAGCTTAATGGTAATATGCTTTTACTGTAATAAAACCTTCTATCATGAAGTAGCATATCAAATAAGTATACTAATTTGTATTATGAAATAATATGAGTAGTTTTGGTCATCCATAAGCGGCCACTTTTTCCGTAAAAATTAAAAAGTTACAAACAATATTAACTTAGTGCGCGGTCCAGTTTAATATTCAAGTCCGTAATTAATAATAAACTATGTAAACAGGCAAAAGAAAACACATACAGCCAACTGCCCAGTGTTTATAATTGCGAGAATTGAAAATACGTACCTGTACCGCTTACTTAAAAAAAAAATGGCTCTTTCTCTTTTATTTTATTTTTTATTCTTTTATTTTTTAGCTTTTGTTTTTTTTTGTATTTTAGTCGCGAAAATGAGTGCTAATGAGAAGAGCGATAACGAAAATACGGTAATAAGATATACGTTCGAACACATAATCAGAAGTTCAGCAGATTACTACTAATGTGCCTGGAAGAACAATGCATTTTCTTCTACAATGCAATTTTGTATGAATTTTAATGTTATTTAATATTTTGTTTACTTTTTCTATTATACATCTTCCTCTCTTTAGTATTATTATTTCCTCGCATTGTTTGAGAAAACGTCTATACATGCTTGGGCGGGAACGGGGATTGCTTGACTTGTATTAATACTAGGCCTCCCTGGCGCTTGTTCTTGTAACTCATACTCGTCCAGCAATCCCTTACTTTGATTGAACAGAAACAAGTTGATCAACGTAGTATTTTTATACCTAATATTAATAAGTATTGAATTGTAATAGTTACCATTTCTTACAGGAAAATTCTTCTTTCTAGCAGCTCTATATCTCCGCACATCGTTCAACAGCGCCATGTGTTTTTCATTATACATTTCTAAATCACTTTCCGAAGACGATGGAGTCAATTCTAAATCCTTTTTAGAAAATTTAAAATTTTTCGCCTCAGCTTGTCTGTGGTGGTTTTGACAGCTGGCACTGTCTCCTCTATTTGGTCTATGGTTTACCGCTTGGTGAACTGTTTTGTTGAACGCACTTGACTCAACGTCGCTTAGGCCATCGGAAAGGTCGCTGAAGACTTCTCTATTTGACGTTTTTTCTGTCCGTTTAAACCACCTTGTGACGTAGAAGCAATTATGACCTTTAAAGAAGGTTAAAAATCTACTTTTTGCAGTCAAATTTGAATTAGCCTCGTACAATGGAGTTTGTATGTCACATTCCTTTTTATAACTTGACATTTTTAACTTATATTTCGGTGCGTGTTTTATAATTGGAGATTGAATTTTATATTTACGAAACTTGCGCTTTTTCGGTAGCCTCTTCGGCAATTTTGCTATAAACCCTTTACGGTCTAAGACTTCCTCGATTTTTATTTGCCTAGGAAACTCTGGCACATTGTCTTTTAGCTCGGGCATAGTTTTGACTAATGCTTGTCTTTCCCTCTCGCGCATCAAATCTTCGCGCTTCACCAATTTCCTTTTTAATTCATTGAGAACTATCTTCGTGGTCTCCGTTTCTTTATTACCAGGCCCCGTAATCGAGTCAATACAAGATTGAATGTTATCAACTTCATCATCAACAGTTTTGACAAAATAAAAAACTTCATCCTTCGCTTCTGGATCTCGATCGTCAATTGTCAAAATATCTTTATCATTTTCCACAACCTTTTCCTCGCCATTTGGAATTTCATTAACGGTATTAACGAATTTATTTTGCAATTTTTTCAATCTGATTTGTGAAGACTGAGCAGTGGATAAGCATTTAGTTATATCATCGATCAAATTATCTATGTCTTTGTTTAATATCCTTAGATCGATGTCTTGTTTGTTCAAGGCGCAGGAGTCGAGAAACGAGTCCAGATTGTTACATTTCGTTAATGCAACCTTAAGTTCCAAATTTGCTCTCGCTATACCGCTATGCACGTCGCTATATAGCCAATTATCTGTTACAGCATGTCCCATTTTCTTATTGGTCATACTGTCATTGCTGCCATAGTTCTTTAACAATCGATACATGCGTTCTAATGCGTCGTAGTTTTCCGTGAAAACGACAATTAAGTTCTGAATTAGCGTATGATGTATCCAATATATTCTTTCATTGTGGTTTTTGTATAATTTCTGGGCGCGTGCGGATGGTATGTTGTGGGCCAAGGCTATGTGTTTTAGTAATGTGGATTGGACTACTAAAAAGGCGTGATGGATTTTCTGTAAGAGCAAAAAAGAAAATGGTTTTAATGCATCAGGTACTCAGAACGCACAAGCATATAATAGTCTGTTCCAATACAATGTACCAGAAAAGTAAACAAACAGATCATTGACCTGGCCATAGACAGTTTAGTGGTGGCCAACTGTACTGCCAACTACAAATCGATTAATTAATTGAATGAATTTATTTGTCTAATTAAATCAATTGGAATAACTGGGTTTTATATAATAAAATGGGTTACTATAAAAAATATTGATTCAATACTGAGTGATGATATTTCATACATGAGATTAGAATTTTTTTCTTACGTAACAAAAGCATATTTAAAATTTCCGAAATTTAATTTTAAATCCTCCTTCAAATCTTACACTATCATCATCTTATCTTATATACCATATACGTCCGATTGTGATAAAATTTTCGATTCACTAATCGATTACAAAAACTTTAATTGAATGAACCGAATGAGTTATTTCCGTCCGTTGATTACCAACCTTACTTTTGAACTAACATTTTTCAAATAAGGTTTTAATATGTTAGTCAAATGAATATTGTTGGAAATAGCGATGAGATATCAAGTAGAAATCTTCAAAATATACGTGAATGTGTTACTTATTTCATTTATTGAGTGATTGCCTTAGAATTTTAACCAAATTGGTTTGCTTACTCTTCTGGCATAATGGATTTGAATTGACTTTAGATATATTCAATAATCACTTCTGTTCCAGATGGCCTTTAACTCGCCACAAATTAAAATAAAATATGGATTAATTCATCATAGTTTTTCGCGATAGTTCGCTTCTTTGTTGTTCAAATTAGGAGCTTATATAAGCGCTGCAGTGGCGCGCCTGTGGTGCAGCAGCCGCGTCACTACTAATTTTCGTACAATAACTAGACGCGTAGTCGCAGCGGCACAGTCGCGACACGTGAAATAAACGTACGTGCGCCGCGACACCTGTTGCGCTACTGCACCGCTTCTATAAGCGTCCTAATATATTGGATGAGACGTATTTTTATCGGGTTTAAATGGCGTATTATAGTTATTCTGGTCACGGACGACAACAATGAAAACAAAATATTTATTTTACTGCTTGATTTTACGATTTCTATAATAAGGACAAAATTTGGACGCGCAGCCATTCAACGAGTCATGATACACTCACTACGCATGCGCACCGCGGCGTGCCGGCCCACGATCCAGCATTCGTTCGTGTTGTGCTTTGACCTGCCCATCGCGCATCGACCACACGGTTTTTGAAAAGCATACCTTTTGTTGATCTTATGAATACACTTAGTGTATAATATAATATCGTTAGTGTTTATTGTGATTCCTATTTTCCTAATAATATACATTTTTTCACTGAATGTGCGCTTAAAATATCAATACTCAAACTTTGCCAAGGATCCTAAGTTTTTAACATCTCGAGTGGGATATAATTATGTTTTGTATTTTATTAACTAAATGCGGAGTAATTTTAAAGTCAGGTCCGCACTAATTTTGAATGGATGTTCTAAAAAAAGTCATCATATTTTTTTATCATAACAAGTGACGGGACGAACAAGCCGTGCTGGTAAGCGACACGCCTGTCCATAGCAGTCACAGTTTGAAATCGCTCAAAGATTCAAAAAGATCTGAGGGGCATTGCTACTGCGCCCATCACCCTGAGACATAAGTTGACAAGTCCCATGTGCTACAGGCACCATTTCACCAGCACCCTTAAACCTCTACGTACTTCCCTGGACGAACTTTTTCACAAGAAGCTCTGCTGCTACTAAATGTTAGTCGACATGTCTGTCTTAACATTTGGCAGCCAACTCACCCATAGGTTATCAGTCTCATCCCTCTGCACGGCATGCCAAGCCACATCGCTTCGCAGCCAAGGCGCGTTGCCAAGTAAAGCGGCTGATGCACGCGACATGATCACCGAAAGCTCGCTCTGCTGACGGCATAGCATCGTGTGCATTGACTCCAGTACTGAAGAGACAGAGTTCCTGGAAATGATGGAGGAAAATAATATGATAAAATTTGACATATTTTTGGTCGATAGAACACTCAACGGATATAATTAATTTATGGTATACAGATATTTGACATATTCTTACATGATATAAAGGTTACTGGGTATAATAGACGATTGATATAACAACTTTCAATCTAATATACCGTTGACATAATGAACATTTTATATAAACATTCCAGATATAACATTCACTGAGTATAATGTATTATCTTTATCTTTATCTTTCTTTATCTTTATCTTTTTTTAAATAAGTTAAGTTAATATAGTAAAGTAGGTATTATTAAGTAAGAGTGCACATGTCGCCAACAAGCTGCACAGCAGTTTGGCGACTTTTTGTAATAAGTAATACGTTGTAATTTTGAATAATAAATTAAAAAATAAATAAATAAATAAATAAATATAATTCCAGTGTTTTTAGGCGCAATGACTAGCGCAGCGAGGAGTATTAGGTTCGAAAACACAGAAAAATATTTTTATAGAACTGATATATCCTCTAGGTTAGGTTAGAACTGCGACCGCAACGGTGCGCGAGCCCAGCGTGTCGCGGCAGCGGCCGGTGAAGCACCAATACCAAATTTCAATGCGAAATCGGTAGGTATTTCGATGAGAAATCTTATTTTTGGTATGAAAATTATTATTCAATACATTATACCTAACGTTTGTTATATTGCAGACTTATTATATACATTGAAATTATGCCTTTTGTAACAACAAAAGATATATAACAATACCTCTCCTCACTGATTGTATTCAATGAGTGATTATATTCTTATAAATTCCATCAAATGTTGTTATTCCAAGTGAGAATAGATTATTTGTTGTTATATCTTTCATTACATACCCGGATCATCCTAGATTGATCCAAACTAGCCTTATGATATGGCTCCAACCGCAAACGTGTGACTTCTGTTGGATACAAGCAACCGGCAACTACAGGCCTACTGCTTAACTGAATTTTTTTTTTACTTCATAATTTGTACCTTGGGCAGATCATATCACCTGATAACCAAATGACAAAAGAGGTGGATCAAAGAGTCACCAACTCATGGAAAAGATACTGGTCCCTAATCGAGGTTATAAAAAATAGAGATATCCCAACTACTGCAAAAAAGAAAGTATTTCACAGTTGCATCCTTCCATGTCTAATATAAGGTTGTCAAACGTGGTTGCTAACAAGGAAAAACACAGAAAAGCTAGAGATACCTCTAGCTTTTCTGTGTTTTTCCCAACACAACTTGGAAAGAAGTATGATGAACATGAGAAGGAAAGACAAAAATAGCGTTAGATCAATTCGACGTAGAACAATGGCACAGGATATTAAGAACTACATGAGGAAATTGAAGTGGCATTGAGCTGGACATATCATGAGGGAGACTGGAAAATGGACCTGAGATGTAACAGAGTGGTACCCAGGAGAAGGTAAATGCAGACAGGGAAGGTAGAGAAAAAGATGGGAAGGTGATTTGGGAGGCACGGGACAGGGAAAACTGGAAGTCTCTGGAGGAGGTTTATGTCGACAAACTGATGATGTGGACGTAATTTAATTATGGGACAATGTTGCACACAGATTTATTTATAATGAATTATTAATTTTGAAATTGTTTAAGTATTAATTTTAATTGGTTTGTCTATTACTTTTAGTATTAAACCTAGATTAGGTTTAAGATATTTTATATTTTTAACCGACTTCAAAAAAGGAGGAAGTTCTCAATTCGACTTTATTACGCGATAATTCCGGTATTTATGAACCGATTTTCAGGATTCTTTTTTGTTGGAAAGGGAGGAATTCCATAGTGGTCCCATTTAATTTTGAATAAAATCATCCGCCTCTAAGGGTGGCTGTTCACGCATGAAGATTCATTTTTATAAATAGCGCCTAAATTTTATTATACGAAGCAATTACTTTAATGGTTGATTTCGCTATTCTCCAATTCAAGGCGTTTTTCTCTTAATAATTATACTTTTGAGTAGTGAGAATTTTATTATCTCCTGTGCCAAGTCCCGTGTAGTGGCGAACTAGGGGATGAATCCGAGTTTGCGCACTTTCCGGTAACAGATTTCAATAAAACTTGGTAATTGTATGTAAGTCCACGTACTTTTGAGGTCGGTTTTTTTAGTACTCTGTACTGAGATTATTTTAATAATGAAGTGCATTTTCTGCTAATGAATTATATTTTAACATTTGAATTGTAACAACAATAAAGGCTATTATTATTATTATTTGTTCCTTGTAGTTTTCTGTAAAAAAGTAATCTGCAAAGAATGCAGTACAAAATACTTACAGTTGATTTTGTAACTGCGTACAATCCCTCAAACACGCAGCGGCTCTGCGTGCTAACGCCAAGTAGTCGCGCATGTGGGTCAGCAGAGTTCTTAAAGTGCCGCGACACGCTTGACGGTGAATTGTTCGGATGGAGAAGGGGAGGAGGAGGTAAGAGGCAATTAAAAGTAGAGAGGAGCGGGAAACACTGAAAAGAGAGACAATATTATTATTATTATTATTGAGATTATTTGTGAAACAACTCCATTAGTTTTTATTATGGTACAAAGATCGAATGGGATGGGACTTGAATCCACGACCATACTGCACAGTAGTATTGCTCATACCAACTGAGCTATGGGTCAAGGTATCGAGTTGTCAAAATTCTCCTGTGTGACAAAAGTCAAACACCTTTGCATTGTATTGTTGGTCATTCTGCACCATGGAGGCAGTTAAATTATTGTCATTGCAGTCAGTTCGGACCAACAAAAGGAATGAATTATTATTTTCACGTGTGAATGTTGTATGTGTCAAATTTAATTTAAGTTATTTACTGTTTGATTGTGTTTAGTATTTGAATTTAATTATATATTTTTTTTTAATTGGGGTGTTCTATTTCTATGACAGGCCATGGCAGAATATCAGCGAGGGCTATGTAATTAGCATAGTTTTCAAATGTGAGTCACGGACCTTTTTGGCATGCTATTTTTTTGGTTCCTTATTTGTTCTAATTTTTTCTATTATTATTTATTACACTTCCTATTTTTTTCTATTGTTTTTTTTATTATTTACAAATGAATTATTTGATATTTTATAATTGTTTGTATTTTATAATGTATTTGGCATGTCAAATAAATACGATTTTATTTTGTTATTTTAAGCAAAAATATTACAAATATGCATAAAGTTATACATTGAAATATATAAATAAGTCATCATTTTGTACATTTCGATACCTCTACCAATGAACACTACGACATTTTAATTTTTGGGCCTGTTCTGTTTTTATTATGTTACTTTATTTCTTTTTTCACAAATTAGTTTTTTTCTTGTTTTTTTATAGTTTTTTTTCCAATTTAGTTTTTTTATTTCTCTATTTTTTTTCACAAAATTCGGGGATTAGTAAATAAATATCGTCGTGGATAGTGTAATTATGCATAACTAGCATTGGATTATGAGTTCCATTTCGGTAATTTTGTGACCAAGTCAAATCCGCGTAAATAATTAATTTTATCAGTCCATAGACAACACAAATTAATGTTTACTGAGTAAAAATGAAACTCGTAGCCATTGAAATACCAAAGTAATAGAGTTAAATTCCTTTCCTGTAGTGATTTGGTACAGATACGCGCTTCTTACCAATACGACGATATGGCCGTTTACAAAAAGAACTTTGAATGATAAAAAAATAAAATTGGCATAGTGTTCATTGGAGGTATTCATGTGGCCTTATTACACCATGGGAGCATGTTGTAAAGAGTAAATACTAACCTTCTAGGTGGAAACATAGCAACAAAAGTCCCCACACTACAAATAGCAGCAATTTTCTCCCCCATTGTGAACCAACCGGTCTTAGAGCCCCCTGCGACATGCCAAACCGTCTCTGGTTGTGATGACTCTTGTTCTACTTCTATGCTGTCTTCGCGGAAAAGAAGACCGCTTTCCAGGATCAATATGATGTTGTGATGACTGTAGATTAGCTATAATCATTTTAAGAACAATTAGAAATAGCACAATAAACAATGTGGTGAAATTAGAGGCACATGGGACTTGTCACCTTATGTCTCAGGGTGAGGGGGTGCAGTGGCAGTGCCCCCCAGATCTTTGTGATTTAAAGCTTAGAGTGCACTACAACTGTTGTGAACAGGTGTGTAGCTTACCATCAGACGCACGACTTGTCCGTCCCGTCACTAGATATTATAAAAAAAACCTTCAATAATAATGTGTGAAAGTCGAATATTCTTTATTTCTATGCAAAAATGTATGTAATGTATATTAATCTATGGATATGTATATATTTTTATTATTACTTATTATGTAGTGTACTTATGATGATATTCTTTGGTTGCACCCCTTTTGCATATCCGAAATGTCTATCCTAAGGTTGCCTGGAAGAAATTGCTACATAGCAATAAGGCCGCCTGTTGCACATTGACTTACTACTACTATTATACTTAAGCTATTGTATTGTATTTTAATTGTAATTTTATGTGCAATAAAGAATATTTCATTCATTCATTCATTCATTCATTCATTCAAATTACATTTGAAATTTTTTTTATAGACAAGTGTCGAGATGAAGCAGTTGGGTGCCTGGTAGCAAGCGACACACCTGTCCATAATAGTTGCAGTGCCACTTAGAGCTTTAACCTAACCCTGAGTACATCAAAATGTACTGTAGTGTTATGTAGTTCATAAATTGGTCATTCTCGGACTAGTGTTCACTATAGTCTGTTCCAATCCATTTTGAACTAAAAGTAAACAAACCTGTTTGGTTAAAATTCTAAAGCAATCACTCAATAAATCGAATAAGTAACACTTTCATGTATATTTCGAAGATTTCGACTTGATATATCATCACTTTTTCCAACAATATTCATTTGAAATGCATTGTAAAAACGTATTTGAGAAAATGGTAATCCAAAAGTGAGGTCATTATTCATCTATACTTCTATGACTTGCCTATGGTTGCATAGTGCTGTTCAAAAAAACATTGGACAAATCAATTCATTCAATTAATTAATCGATTTGTAGTTGGCGTTACAGTTGGCCACGACTAAACCGTCTATGGTTGGGTCAGTGACTTGTTTGTTTACTTTCTGTTCAAAATCGATTGAAACAAAGTATACATACTTTCCATGGCAATTTTTATTATTTAAATATTCAAATGTTACATCATGTAATTCTTAAATAATATTTTACGATACAATACTCGAATACTAAATAACTTTCTACAATAAAAAATCAAATACTTAATAAAAATTGCCACGGAAATTAGGTAAGTAGTGAACTTTAGACTGGAGAATGACAGAACTGTTTGTCCTATAATCGCGTAAGTGCCCAGTGTACTTTATAACCAAAATATCCATATTCAAGTTTAGCTCTTAATATTCTATATGACCATAGTGTGTCTAGAAAAAAGCTTTTTTCATACAAAACTATTGCCTCAAGCTTGTATATATTTATCTGCTGCCACTAACTAAAATGTGGCTAAGTTACAAATGGTCAAATATCCGTTTTATATAGCAAAAGATAGGGCACAAAATTATCTTTTGAAAACATTTAAAATTAGTTAACGTGTTCAACTTATCGGAACTTACCCTAATGATGCATAGCTGAAATATCATTAAACAATATCAATATTCTGTTATGTATGGTTTTTCTGATATCTCCAAAATTATTTTGTCACAGCAGCATTTTACAACGGCAGATATTAAGTACATTTTAATGCACATTGGGCGTTTATAGCTTTTCCCATAATAGTTTGCTGGGTCTTATTAGGTTAAATTGCAAAGATCTGAAGGCACTGCCACAGTGCCCGTCACCCTGAAACATAAGTTGAAAAGTCCTATGTGCCAGTAATTTCACCAGGACCTTTACCCTTTAAAACTGGAACGCAGTAATGCTTACGATACTGGCAGAAATAGGTAAGGTGGCAGTACTTCCCTATATGAATACTTTTTTTTTATGTAAAGAAGGAGGCAACGAGCCGACGAGCCACTTGATGGGAGGTGGTCATCGTCGCCCATGGACATTTGCAACATCAGATGAGCTGCCTATGCGTTGCCAGCCTTTTTCTACTGTTACTCATCCCATTGATTAATAAATAACGCACACACTCAACATAGCCCCGCACTAGGTAAACCCTGTGTCGCGGGTGCCATGGACACACACATAGACAACCACAAATTACACCCAAACTCACGAGAGAAATAATTGTAGGCCATACAACAATTTGTCCCGGCCCAGGAATCGAGCCTCTGCGTGGCAGTCCGGCATGGTAACCGTTCGGCCACGGAGGCAGTTCAAATGTGATTAAACTCTACTGCTCATTCATAAGGCAGATTCCCTTGAGAAGAATGAGCAAGAAACTCTAGGGGTTGCTCTTTGTAAATATACATTTGTAGACATTTCTCATTTATAATATATACCTATTTCAAACTTCAAAATTGAGGCAACCTGTAAGAGCTAAAAGTTTTTAATGTTTAATAGCTTACCATATTAGGCCTGAACTTCATGGCAATCCATTTCCTAGACAATACGGGAGGCGCGAAGTTTTGTTTCAAGTACAACGCCATCTGAAAATCATAATACATTATTACGAAACAACGTCGAGTAAAAAATGAGAGAAAACGCAAATAACCTTATTTCTTTGTTATTTACAAAGAAATTTGTAAAACCCAACAAACTTAAGGTAAATGACAAGTTTATATATATGAAATAATTTGTTAATAAAACATTCTTTTTTTAGGTTTTAAAACATTTATATATCTTTATTTGTATCTGAATCGAAAGATATATTGAAATAATATTCTTTTACGTTACAAAGCAGAATTATCACCTTTTCTTTTTATTTATTTTCAAATTATTAAACGAATTAAATTAAATCATATTTTTTAGAAAAATACAAATTTATGACTTCACACTGTGCGTTTCTGAATATAGTTTTATTTGACAGATTTCATTGTTCACATGACATTATATAATTTTTGTACAAAATGAGTAAGATATATGGCGATATAGTTTAATAAA